GCTACGAGAATTTTATTAAAAGGCGGAGGCGAGGAAATTTCGACGCTTATATATCGTCGGTCCGTTTGACTACATATATACATATACATATATATAATACATCTCCTACTGTCTGTCTCTCTTTCTCCTGTTTCACATGGTTCGAGCTGCCTTTATTACGCGGATTGAAAGTAATTATGTGAACGCTTAGTTAGAACAGAGGTCGAACGTCCTTATAAGTCGAATTTAATAATTCAAACTCTCGCGGAAGAGGACCACGTAGAGTAGTAAGTCCGAATATCAATCTTACCTTGCGATTAATCAAAAAGGTGAGATTCTTAATGGCGGTAGAAAGACTATTAAGAACAGAAAGAGAGAGAGAGAGGGAAAAAGATTATATGGCAAACTCGATAAGGAAGAAATGAATGTTTCCGTCGAATGATTTCGACGCTCGAACACCGCTTTCCATCGAACGATTCCAAGGACGTGTATCCTTCGTTGCGAAGGCCGGCACCATTCGTTTCACCGATCGTACCTTGTCAGCGTGCTTCCGTTCTACCAGGAACTTGACGCAAATTTTCATCTTACGTGTGCATGTCCATTTGTCTGTACACATGTGTTGTGTGTGTGTGATTATACATATGCATTCGAATAGATTATTAGCTAAACTGATACAGTCGGAATATATTTACATACGCTATATAAAATTGTCGCGTTATTTATAAATGTAGTGAACATAATTGAACAATCATGGAAAACGCTAAATTTGTTCTTATTATGTTAACATATATAGATAGATTCTATGCGTGTCGAATTAAGCCAACTGAAACATTATATAAATTGAATATACACATGTATTATATTAATATTTAAGATCGTCGCGACATTTATAAATAATATTTCAAAATCGAAGGACGAAGTTATAAAATAATAAAAAAAAAAATGACGGAAAAACTTTACATATGCGTATTTATGCATGTTTATATGTTATATGCGTGTTAAATAAAATTAGTTAAAATGATATAAATAAGATATATAATATTAATACTTAAAATTTGTCATATTATTTGCATATACTCAAATAAATATGATCGATAACGTGTCTACTTATATTCTATATAAAATTCGTGTGTATACGTGTGTTGAAATAAAATGAACAGAATGAATATACCAAGAATATATTTACACTTTTAATCGTCACGTCATTTGCATATTAATAATTAAATCGAAATGATATAACAAAGTAATGTTCTTATGGTAAATAAAGAAAAAAGAAAAAAACAGAAAGGATGATCGCAAATTGATCGAGTTCGCTTTCCTTCTTTGCTTTCTTACACACAAAGTAAACGACGTCTTAAGCCGCGTTCTTCGCTAATGAATCGCGTGATTACCAAAAAAAACGAATCCGAATCTTTGAAAATACCGAAATGGCTTCGTTAAAGCAGATTCCCCTTCGTTAGCGACCAATCAGGATCAGTTTTGATCGGCCCTTATCTCTCTCTCTCTCTCTCTCTCCCTCTCTCACACATTCACTTACCCCACCTTTTACTTAAATCTATCTATCTTTCTTTCTCACACATTCACTTACCCCACCTTTTACTTAAATCTATCTATCTTTCTTTCTCACTTCCCGGTGGTTTCTAACTAATAACTTCAAACGATCTTTGCCTCTTGGATTTCACTCGTAATCCTTTTACTTCTCTATTTCAATCTTATGAGATACTAATAAATATTGTCTATATGTGTATACGCGTATAGAGGATGTTCCAAAAGTTACTTTATCGAGAGATTAAAACAAAAGAAATAATTAATAATATATTTGATTAGAATATTTTTGCAAATACATATAAATATTTACAAGACACGAATTTGTACAACAGTTCGCGTTATGATAAAGAAATTATAGACCCAGGATGACGTTATTTCAAATCCCGAGTAAGAAAACCTTTTTCTAATTATTTCTTATTCGATAAAGTGTGACTTTTTCAGACATCCTGTATAATTTCTAATAATTAGGAATTCAACAGACAAATAATAGATCGATGAGAATTCGATTAAAAATGATAGAGAATTTTATTCTGGTACATGGTCATGAATATTTTTTGTAGATCTTATATTTATTGAAAGTAGACAATGATCGATGACGATAATATGATCGATTCGTATCACTGAAAAATCGATTCGAATATTATGATACTAATCGTATCAACCGGGGATAGCGATATGACATTTTATCTTAATAAATTTTGATTACTGGTTATAGATCGCGGATAATCCTAGAACCAATTTCTATGATCATTCGCCAATCGATCGTTACGATTTAACGATCTGCACTCTGGAATGTTATGTGCGTAAGCTTCGGTTAGATATAGTAAACGAGGATGACGACGTTTTTCAATCTTTTTCTCTCTCTCCCTCTCTCTCTCTCTCTTACTCTCTTTCTTTCTTTCTTTCTTCCGTTTCTCGGTAATAATAATAATTAACATGGAAAGCGCGGAAAGCTGTAAAGTTTTAACGATTGTCTCTAAACGGCTCGTAAAACAACGCGCGCGCACACACACACGCACGCCCGTCTTGAGAAATCACTCATCCGATTTTTTTTATATTCATATACGTACGTGTAATCGCATTGGAAAGTTTTTCATTTGCATAAAGAATATAATATCATTATTTGAGGGATTCTTTTAATTTAATTTAGCGTAGGGAGAAAAAAAACATCGAAGGAAATAAAATTGAAATCAATATTGGAACCAAAACGACGGCGTTACATTATTTGCTTAAAAGGATCAGGTCAAGAATTGTTTTTTTTTCTAACGTCAACGGGGTTCCGTAAAATATATCTCGAGACCCGACGTTGGGATTCTTTTGAAAATTTCGGAAAACCTAGTTCAAGTTTTACGACTATCTCAGGAACCCACGCGTTCGATGATTTTACCATTTCGTTTTTCACAATAGTTGTTTTTTATGTACTCATTTGTTTGGTAAATAATTGGAACTTAACACGCCTATTTCGGGTATATTTTTTATAACTGTCCTCTTTTTCTTTTTTGTATACCGTTACATTGTAAAACAAAATTGTAAAATAAAAAAAAATAAAAGAAAACTTTCGAAAGTATGTTCTTCAACAAAGCCGGTACAAAACTATCGGAAATTGTCGAACAAAATTTTCGTGAGTGGATTTAATTCTTGACTCGAGTCCGAGAGAGTTCGACGGACCTCTTTCTGTTCTTCTAGACCTTTATGGGAAAATCACTAAACGACGACGGTAAAAAATTGACCCTTTTTTTTTCGAATGCTAAGCATTGTTATATGTCTATAAAAAGTATTTAAGATCGAATTGAATAGTTTTCAAGTCATATAAGAGCTATATATATATACATACAAACAATACTATTCTAGATCTGTTCATTGAACGACGAAAAAAATGTATTTCAAATAATTATTGTCAAAAGATTTTCAAGAACATCTTGTCCCTAATCCTTTCTACTTTTTTGTACACTCTCATCTTCTAAATCTTTTATCCCTGTAAGTTTGAATTCTTAAAATCACGTGTTAAAGCTAGATTTTCTTTTGCGTTAAAAATATATTTGAAATAAAACAAATATTGAACGTGTTATACCTATATCATAAATATTATATTTGAAAAATGAAAAACAACGAGAAGTATATACGAAGATATCCTACATTAAATTAGATCTGTTTAAGAAACTGTTTCCAAAACATCGTTGGGTTTCTTTCTCTCTCTTTCTTTCTTGGTATCCCTTTCTCGAGAAGATTTCGTTGTGCAGTCTATTACGTCAGGAACAGAGAAAAGTGGTGGTCGGTCGTTGAATAGTCGGTGTTTTACAACAGTGGCGAGAGGTGAACACAACCCTCGTGGCTTTGTCGAATCGTTGCTAGCTGCGCGAAATGTACCTGTGGTAAACGTACCGACCATCGTTTGCCCCCTCCTTCCTTGTTCTATCCTTTTTCTTCTCTCCCTCGCACACTTTTGAACGGTCGAGTAGATGTCGAGGGTCCGAGGAAAGAAAGAAAAGGGAAAGGGAAACACCGTAAAGAGTTAACTTACTGTAAAATGAACCATCGTCGAGTTTAAGACTTGTTTAAACGAGATGAGACGATCCTGAGACTGAAAGAGGGAGAGTAAGTAAGAGAGAGAAAGAGAGAGAGGGAGAGAGAGTGAAACCAAATTGTGCGAATCTAGTTCTTCCTGTCGAGTCTATTCATTTTTATCTAAACTTTTCATCTGTTTAAATATTGTCAACATTATTTCTGTCGAGTTATTCTATAGAGATATTTTTGTTCATATTTTCTTATACTTCCAATTATTTCTTAACATGAGTTTCATTATTTTAATTGTTTTTCTACGATAATTGTTTAAATTAATTCGATGACATCGTTTTATTTCAGCTCATCTTGGATCTTAGAAAAATGTATTCTTTCAGTTTAAACAGATATACGTAAAATCGGGATATAAAAATAGTGTTTAAAAATTTGTTCGCACATTTTAATCATTTTATACGCATACCAACTGACAATACAGGAATCATTTGTTTTTAAATCTGGTTGGTATCTTAACGATTTGCAGTTAAATATAATAGATAAATTTCTAATGATTATGAAAATTAATTTACTGTGAAATAAACTATTGTTAAGTTTAAGACGCCATAAATTTGATAAGACTATGGCGAGAAACTGAAAGAGAGAGTTTAACGAATCCAGGTTATACATTGACTTTACATTTTTTTTTTCATCTAAACTTGTTTCATCTTACCACGCGAAATCATTCAAGTATTAAGAAAGCGTAATAATTTCGAATCCTTTCTCGTTTCGTTTATAACCATACCTAATTATTTAATTCTAAACACCGAAGATACATAATATCGATTAAAATAGAAAGAGAGAAAAAAAAACAGACGAAAACTAAACGAAAGTTTCTATATTAAAAAGAAAGAAATAAAATAACAAATATGTATATACAATACACGTTGATAAGAAATAATAATAATAATAATTCTCACCTGAGGACACATCTTGCATTGGTATTTTCTCGGCGGATGCGAGTGTGGTCCACCGAGATGAGGGTTGAGATGAGACGGATGAGAGGGTTTCACAGTTAGAGGCTGAGGAACCACCAGTAGACTTGCCGGAGGACTGCCGCTGCTAGATCCACCGGCACCACGATACTGATCTTCCCCTAAAAAAGATAAACAACAAAAGTAAGATAAACGAAATAAATCAAATCCGATTGAATTTAAATATAAAACCTACGCCCGTGTCAAATCCTTCGGATCATCAATCTCAGAAATTTGATCGAGGCAAATATCTTTTTTGTTTTAATCGTTCAGAACCAAAGAAAGAAAAAAAAATATATATATAAATAAATCTAAAGAAAAAAGAAGGACGAAAATAAAAAAGGCAGGAGACATTTTTTGTAGAACAAGAGAAATAAACGAACGAAGATGAAATTAGTAACGACAATACGAACTGTTGGTTGCAATCGTATTGGTTGTTAGGATTTATCATGAAAGGAGGGGGGAAACGGTTAACGACGATAGATGATAATTAACCAGATAAGTAAACGGTATTACGTATTCTACTTGGTGGAGAACACGCGTACTCAATAACTAGCCGTGGTGAAAGAGGAATGAGAATAAGGATAGAGAGAAGGTATGCTTAAGAAGAATGGTGGAATCGTGAGGACGAGGGAAAGGAAGAAGAAAAGGAGGAGGAGATGGTGGTGGTGGTGGTGGTGGAAGCTGACGCAAGAGTACATCGTGCAAAGGGGCAAGGATCTTCTACAGATTGCAAGGACGAACGAACGATCCTCTATTACGAGTGTTCGTTATTAATCTGGAACTCTCAATATCGATCATCGTGTGAACCGTGCTCATTTTGCGCGTGTATGCGTGTGCCAATACAGGTGTTACTCATACTTGCTATGCGTACGCTTACGTGGTGTAACATATTAACTACTTCTTCGTTCCGATTATGATTTCCTGTTGTTACCAGTCTTCTTGCTCCTCCTCCTCCTCCTCCTCCCCTCAGTTTTCCTTGTTGCCGTTACCAAGCTTACTCTAACTCTACTCTCCCTCCATATTCTATTTTTTATTACATCTTTTTTTTCTTCGTTCTTTTTATCTTTTTTTTTTTTATTGTTCTATTACTTTTGTTTTCGTAAATAAATAAGCTTTCGCGAATCCGATGGGGTACCTTTTCTTTTTATTTTCTCTCGATAACCTTTTCTTCAGACGTTCTAAATCTTATTTTTACAAACCGCATGCGATCCGATACTTTTTTTCTTCTTTTCCAAATATAATATATGCGCTTTAATATATGTCGTTCCGTATTTCTTTTTTTTTTCCTTTTTAATAATATTACTCGTTATGCGATATATATTATAGTTATACGATTATGTATGCTGAATAGGATAAGATTCGAGATCTTTCCTCATCATCATCATCATCATCATCATCATCATCGAGAACTAATTGATCGGGGATTTTTTTTCTTTTTTCATTTCTAATTGCGTTATTGCGAATTATTAAAATCAGGAAGATACAAAAATGTCTAAACTTGAAAATATATATACAATCACATTGGAATGGACGATTTAAACGAGTCGTTTAATTGATTGATCGTTCGTAATTCGACTCTACGAACGCCATCTTGTCGGTCGAATCGTTTTATTATTATTTTCTATAATAAATCTATCTAACATTTTCAAATCACTCATCAATCGGGTTTCTACTTTGCAACATTTTATCTCTAAGCGAGTTAAAAAAGAAAAATAAAAGGAAAAAAAAAGAAAAGAAAATAATGTATTTGGTTTACACGTGCGATAATATGCGTTCAAATAAGTACGTAATAATTTATCATGCAACGTAATGCGTACAGTAGTCAACGTTAAGTATAAGACACGCGCGTATACGTAACAACGTTCTCCTCGTGGCATAACTAATTGATCTTTCCAGCGAGCTTGAACCCGATAATTAACATTTACATATAAGATCTTATGCATAAGATGGGCAGCAGGGGGAGACGGAGAGGAAGGGACACGCGAAGAAGACGATGGCGACATTTAATGGCGACGATAAGAAAAAGAAATAAAACAACAAGAAGAAGAAAATTATTACTATTATTGTTTCTTCTCTTTTTCTTTCCCTTTCTTATTTTTTTTAAATAATCAATCATCCTCTTTCTCTCTCTTTCTCTCTCTCTCTCTCTCTATATATATATATATTTAGACGTTTGATCATCCAGCAAATTTTACGTTTTGGTTCATCGTTTCCTTTTTTTTCCCCTTGATTTGATGGTGTTTTACATCGAGTAAATGAAAAATAAAAATCAATACAATAATACAAATGTTAGTAGGATGTTACGATTGTCGTTGTTGTTGCTTCGTGTTGAATCGAAAAAAAGATGCGTATTTTTGAAATATCATTTACACCGACAAGTTACAACGATTCGTAACTTGTTAACTACAAGAATCATTTACAGCGAGTACTTTTAATCTGCACGCAGATATACTTTTCACGTTGTTGCTTCAGCGTTTCTCGAAATGCAACATTCAACGAGAATTCGCATCCACGACGATCTTTCTTCTATCTTTCTTCTATCTTTCTCGCATCTATTCTCCTACGTCACGCGAAACTGTACGACGACGACAACGATGATTATGATGACGATGATGATTATGATTATGATAAAAATCATTAATGACCCATGACGTCACGATGTACGAATCTACTACCACGTACGCGTTTCATTTCAATTCCACCTTTTTCCTCCCCCCACCTCCCTTGTCGTATTGTCTCGACGAAACAACGAGAAACAAAATAATGTTACAATTTGTCTCAAAAAAAGAAAGGAAATATCCATGTATATTAAAATATTTTAATGAAAAATCGGTGTTTTTTACTCGATGATAGTCGTTCTCAATAAAAATATAGCAGAAATCGTTTTTTTTATCACGTTTTCTTCCATTAATATTATCGGACGTAACAAACATTTTTTGTTTGTTTCGTTTTCTATTATCGCAACACCGATTCTTGTTTTTTCTTTTTTTTTTTGAAACCGCAAGATAAGAAAAATAAAACAAGAAAAAAAAGAATTATTCGTAATCGTTTATTTTTAGTTTTATAACTACCGTAGAAGAATTGAAAAATCTCGGAAAGTCTTATAAATGCATGAAATAAATAGTGTCATATCAAAGAATTATCCGTACGTAAAAACCGGAACAGAGATATTCAAGTAAATGGTTCGGAAGTACGACCATTGGTTTCGAGCAAAGACAATGGGAAAAGTTAATTGGTCGTAGGATATGTGAAAGAAAGATGTGCCACATACACACATAGAAGGATACGTGCAATCGTGTACGTAAAAAAAAATCATGATCTTTATCTAAATCTAAAATGAATAACTAAAAACATATAAGTTATGTCGATGGATAATTAAGATTTACAAAATTTTTTGTTCCCAATGAAAAAAAAAGATCGATCGCGAAAATAAATAAAGTCGTGATAAATACATATGTTCATTAATTTTATGCAATAGCATGTCTGTAAGAAATATATATCTATATAGTATTTTTTTACTTATTTAAAATTAGCAAATAAGGAAAAGGAAAGAAAATTTTTGTCGACGATCGTTTCACACATTTTGCAATAACGAAATGATCGATCATGGGAATAAATCCGATCGTAATAAATACGTTGGTCAATTTTATGCAATAATATATATACACCCGTAAGACAGATATTATACTTATTCTTTTTTTTTTGTATCTATTTAAAAATTACCAAATAAAAAATGAAAATTTCGTCGATGATAATTTGTATTATTTGAAATAAAGAAAAGATCGATGGTAAAAAAATAAAAAACAAAATAAAAACAAATAAATCGTTGTAGATGCGTTAACCGAGGAGATAAAATCGTCAAAATCGAGCTTGGTCCTCTTTTTACGCATGTTCCATGGGAAACGCGGCTAATAATCGTGGGAGCGTGACAATTGTTTCCATTTTAACGCATATATATATATATATATATATATATNTCCATGGGAAACGCGGCTAATAATCGTGGGAGCGTGACAATTGTTTCCATTTTAACGCATATATATATATATATATATATATATATATATATATACGTATATATATATACATATGTACAGAGTGGCCCAAAAATTCTTAGACCATTACGAAAGATGATGGAAAATATTTGAGAAAAATGGTGATCTTTTGAAATGATCAGTGATTCACAAAACGAATGCAATATTATTTCCAAGAAGTGTATATATATTTAAAAAAGAAAAAAAGAAAATCAATGCGAATTTCGTATACACGCAAAAATTATTTTATTTTTAAGCGAGATCTAGAAACTTTTGGGCCACCCAATATCATTTTCTGCATGACAATGAGTCGTGACGAGCGTATATTTTCGTTGTTACAACTAATAGGAAAAAAAAAAGTAAAAAATTCTCTACAAGGATTATTCTTACAAATCTCTTCGAAATGTTAATAATCGATTACGATTATGTCATACTTCGAGAGAAGATTATTTTGAAATGACAATAATAATATTAATACATTCGACGAAACAATACTAACGCGACAACAATACAAAAATCTCCATAGCAAATACGCAATATTAATTAGAAAAATTAATATTCGAACGAATAAAAATAAAAATCATAGGTTTTTTCCTTTTTTTCTCGAATGTCATATTTATATAAAGAAAAAAAATATGTTCGCGTGAAAATAAAACCAAAAATGGAAACGGAAGCAAAAATTGTCTCGACGAATTCGAGTGTGCACGCGCGCGTGTAAGCGTAAAAATTGAAACAGAAACAAAAAAGAAAAATAAAAAGAAAAAATAAAATATAAAATAATATTCCGAAGTCGGTATATAAGTTCTATATAACGAGATATAACAAATAACGATGGAAGATCTATCTATCCATCTATCTATCTCGGGAATAATAAACGAGCAATTAAATTCAAATCTGCAGATCACTTTTCTCAATATCATATTTATAATATTTCCACGAAGTCAACAGCTAGAAGGAAAAAGAGATACGAAAGAGAGAGGGAGAGAGAGAAGTCGGTTAGAATGAGAATTATCATAGTCCAGTAGAGACTCTGATCTTAGCAGGTGTCAGTAGGGTCGTCGGTACGCATGCCTTCGATGACAACG